AAAAAAAAAAACCCTGCTTGTTGCTCTTTTGTTTTAGTGGCTTTAGTGAAACACTGGTGACAGTTAGCTCTTCTTGGTTTGCCTCCTGCTTTGGCTCCCCTCATGTGCGCTTTGCTTTCTGCGCTATTTTTCCATATAGTTGCTGCATCATGCTTATGTACACTACATGTTGGCTGGCTTGCTGTCTAAAGTGGCCTTTGGAGTTGGCTGATCTTGGAATGATAACCTGCATTTTATTGTGACGTTTCAGAGTTTAGTCATTGTGTTTTACTTTGTCTTTCTCATTCAGGACCAGGTCTCGAAGGACAAGGCGCTGCAGACGGTGGCCAATCTCTCATCAGCTCAGATCGTCTCTGCGAGTGTAATGAAACCCCAGACTCCCTTTCCTCCACCAGTCAGAGTGAGACGCTAACACTGACACACATCTGTTGTTTTTACTTTTCAGGGTAAACGTGAGCAAATCGTTTTACTCAATCTGTTTCTTCTTTGTGTAGTTTTGGCCCGGCCCTATGCCAGGACAGCCTGGGCATTCTCAGGAGTAAGTATAGCTGGCACATACGTTGGTTTTCTGTCGTGAAAATCAAACTTTCTTGCGTAAGCAGGTACATTTACTCATTTTTGGGGTTATTTCTTCTGTTTCGTTCTTACAGCATCAAGCCCTTTGCACAGCCGCCATACACTACACTCCCAGCCCCCGTCCCTGCACCTATCAGTAAGTGTGAACTAGTTTTTTTTTAAAAAATATTGTTATTTGAATAGTTTCACAGTTTTTAATGTTAAACAGGTTATGAGGCCTTGCCACCCCCTCGACCTGCAGCTATAGCAGCTCCTGTATGGCAAGACAGAACCATTGCCTCTGCAAAACTACGGCTCCTGGAGTACTCTGCTTTCATGGAGACTCAACGAGACAGAGAGACGGTACAGACAGCCACAACCTTTTGAAACAAGAGTCGTCAATATAAAGTTTGTACTTGTACTTATTTCTCCTTCCCTTCTACAGCATAAACATCTGTTCGTGCACATTGGCCCATCAAACCCTGGCTACAGTGACCCAGTGTTGGAGTCCATAGACGTGAGGCAGATTTACGACAAGTTCTCTGAGAAGAAAGGAGGCCTGAAAGAGCTTTACGAAAAAGGGCCACACAATGCATTCTTTCTTGTCAAGTTCTGGGTAAGTAACCAACAACACTAAAGCATTTTAGCAAAGGAAGTCAGCGAGTTCTAATCTCAAAGACGGAGTTGGCGTTTAGGACATGCGCACTAACATGCTTAAGTGTTTACGCTAGATTACTTTCACTTTGTTAAACAAATAATTGGGTCTTTTGTAGCAGCGGTCCCCAACCCCCGGGCCTCGGACCGGCACCGGGCCGCAAGAGTTGAGGCTCAGGTGTGAAATGTCTGGTTTTCAGGGTTTTTATTGGTTTTCAGCGTTTATTTTATCGTTTTTATCGTTTACTCGGTTTTCCTGGGTCTTTTCACGTGTGTTATGAATAAATCTTTTTTTT